GCCAGCTCGTCACCTGTCACCTGGTCCTCTGCCCTGGCTGTGAGGACAGGGTTGGAGGACACCCCGTCACCTGTCACCCGGCCCTCTGCCCTGGCTGTCACTGCGCAGCAGCTATGCTTACCCTCAGACCTCTGCTGCCACCTTGGGGACCCCTTGTTGAGGCTGGCCTTCTGCCCAGAGCCCTCCAGGGTCTTCCTCACCCTGAGTGTGTGGATATGTCTAAGTCCTAAACCCCAGTACCTGTGAACATGACCTTGTTTGGAAATAGGGTCTTTAAAGGCATTATGGGTTAGGTTAACACGAGGTCACACGGGAATCGGGTGGGCCCGATCCTATATGAGCGGCGTCCTTATAAAGGAGAGGAGACTCAGAAACAGGGAGACAGAGGAAGGATGCCACATGATGCTGCAGCCTCCGCCCAGGAACGCCGGGAGAGACCAGGAAGGACCCTCTGAGAGCCTCCAGAGACAGCCGGGCTGCCAGCTCCCTGATCGCGGGCTCCCGGCCTCCTCCAGACGGTGAGAGGCTGCATCTCCGTTGTCATAGGCCTCCCACTAGGTGGTACTTTGTTATGATGTGGCCGCAGGACAGGAATCCACAGGGGTGGGTCCAGGCCAGGCCCTGCGCCTGTGCCATGCTGTCCCCAGCCTCACCGGATCCAGGACAGCAAAAGGCACCAGAGGTGACGCTAGCCTGGAAGTGCGATGCGGCTTTATGACAATCAGCACAGAAGCCGCTGCACGAGCCTGAGGCGCGACCCAGCCCGCGGGAACCTAGCTCTCGTAGGGTAGGCGCGCGCCCCACGTAAACCTGAGCAGCTGAGGACACCTCCCCCAGACACGAGCGGGAAGAGATCCCGTCGCCAACTTGCTTTTGCAACGACCTCCTCTTTTTGTCCGTTGGCAAACAAAGAAAAAGCCCAGTTAGAATCTCAACACATTTTGATATTTAAAAGCTTCGCAAACAGGCAGATTCGCAGCACGTCCTTGCACGGGTTCTGCTGGGTTTTCTCCCTAATGGCCCCGGAGCTCCCAGCACAGCCCCCCAGGACACCCCTCGGCACCAAGGCCGGCCTGTCACCACCAGGAGACAGGTGGTTTTTCTCTTTTAAATGCAGAAAAGCAAACACTGGCCGAACACACGGCTGCTACTGCTCACCTGGCCCTTCTCCACCAGCAGCTTCTCCAAATCTTCGATCTTAGCCTGGGACCTCAGCAGGTCAGCTTGTAGCTGCTCCCGAGTCTGGAACAGGAGGGAACAGAGTCAGCAGGTCCCTCAGACAGGTGGCAGAACAGTAGCGAGGATAGAGCCATGGAATGTGCACGCCTGGCTGCCGACAGCAAAGCCTTAGAGCCGTTTGTCTGCGGCCGAGCCTGCCTGTCTGTTCAGGTTCATCTGTCACTGGCAGATATAAAAATTTTAAGAACCGAAAGGTCTTGAGAGGTGGTCAGTTCTAAGCCCCTTCAATTGACGGACAAGGAAACTGAAGCCTGGAGCAGAGACAAACTTCTTCAAGGGGTGAGTGAGGCGGAAGCAAGACTTTCCAGTCCCAGCTCAGCCGTCTGACCCAAGGCAGTCGTGCTCACCCAGCAATCAGCCTCCACACCAGCCCAGCACCCTCCGTGGGCCCTCGGTCCCCTGCACGAGGGCTGTGCACCAGGATGCCTTCAGGACCAGGCAGCAATGTAAGTAAGGGAAGCTGACTGAGTGTGGGGCAGCAGGGAGTGGTGGGGACCGTGGCAAACTGGAGGCCATGCCCATCCCAGAGCCAACACGCTGGGAGCCGTAATCTGGACTGTCTCCTACAGCGGTATGTTGTCTTTACAATCCAAACAGTAGTAGACGTGGACAGCAGTGCTGACAGGTCTTGTGATTCTTCAAGAATCGCCAGAAATCTGTTTTCTTATGTGAGATCTCTTGAATTTTAAGTGTTGGCAATTAGATAAAAATTAAACAAAAAACAAAAAGACTCAGTGCAACCCAAGCAGAGTGCTGGCCCTGTGGCTGGCTCTCTGGAAACTTCTCTTGCTTCAGAGCAGTGGGTGCAGACCCTGCCGAGTGTCTTTGACGGGAGAAGGAGGTGGAGGGCGCTACAGGGAGGCAGACACAGCCCGCACTCAGCAGCACAGCCGCGCTGAGGGGCTGCAGGGGAGTGGCCCACGGGGAGGTGCAGCGGGGGTCTCAACGGGAAGGGGGATGTTATTTCCCCCAAAAACCAAGCCCATTGCCATCGAGTCGATTGCGACTCACAGTGACCGTTTAGGACAGAGCAGAACTGCCCCATAGCGTTTCCAAGGAGTGGCTAGTGGATTCGAACTGCCAGCATTTTGGTTAGCAGCTGTAGCTCTTAACCTCTGCACCACCAGGGTTTCCAGTTGGCTGTAAATTCCAAAACCGTTCCTGCACAGACAGCACGCATGGCTGTTAGACGCTCACACCAGCTCCCCCTGCCCGGCCCCTGTGCTGTCCGCCCACCCCCTCCCCGTGGCCCCCCCGGCCCTGTGCTGTCCGCCCACCCCCTCCCCGTGGCCCCCCCGGCCCTGTGCTGTCC